TTCGACGATTCGACGTTCACATACCTAGTACAGTAAATTCTCCTTAATTCGAGCTCAGATCGATCACGAAAATGGACAATTTGGGAAGAGGAGAGATACAATTATTCGAGCCTTGCGACTCGTTTCTATAATTGCTCCCAAATTGTCCATTTCTGTGTGCAATCTGAACGCGAATTAGGCAAAAACTTACAGTACCTTATAGCTCCACGATTATTCTTACTTACTTATTCTTACATTTTGTGTCCTCTTCCGTCGAATCTCAGCATCGATGTAGCAATAAATTACATAGGCGTAGAACTAGCGCAGGGAAAATTCGGAAAAAGTTCGGAAAAAATTCGCAGCAACCCGAAATGTGGCATTTCCTGAACAAACAAAAATGACTGTAAATCGTAGTACCACTACGGCCAGGTGTCCTTGCATTATTCAAAGTTAAAGTCGCACACTGTCCCGTTTTGTTTACGCACGACGATCTCGGCAAATTGCAGGTTGCGCGCGCGTGCGAGTTTTTCGAGGCGAGGCGAAGCGAGGCACGGTCGACCGGCCGCATTAGCTGCATAATGCGGTCCCGCGAAACCTTGCCGATCTTACCGAAGGCGTTGAGTAATATTTCGTGCGTGTCTAGTCACGATTCGCGGCGGTGTCCAACAAGTTGTAGGCATCGCGCCGGTAAACACGGCGGCCGATCGAGGAGGCCTGCGCGACATTAATCGCTCGGAACGGCCGTCGTCCCGCTTCGTCTTCGATCGCGCGGAAAACGATGCTGAGACAATCTAGCTCTACCTTCGGATCCGCAGGGATTGCTGGGCACCGGCCAGCGTTCTCCAGACCGCGAATTTCGCGCGGCGTTTAGAAGAACGGGCTCCGTCACGCGCAGAGACACCGAAACGCGGCAAAAAGTGTCCTCGAAATTAAAGCGAGACCGGCGAAAAACGCGGCGCTGTTCTGACTTCGAAATGAAAGTGCCGCCTCGAACGCGTAGTAGTCTCGTTATGAATGACTCGGGCATCGTGTACGCGTGAAATCGGGCTTGTTCCGAATGTGAAATATAATACTTGCGCGATTTGACGACTCTTTACACCGCGGACCGGTTTGACTGTGCGATAATGGGAGAAATGCAAACGAATGGGATACATCTTTCGTGATAAATCTAACGAGCAATGATAATGTCTGACGCGTGTGCCGCTCAATGATAACGCTGAATTTATCTGGAATCTGTGCAAATTTTATTATAATGTCTTTTCTAGTTAAGAGCTTTGTTCAATTCATTTCGTCGGGAAAGTCTCCGTTTCGACAATTTCGAAGTGGAATATAATAAAATAAAAAGTTGCCGTTCCAATAAAAAAATAGTCAAAAATTAGTGTCACTCAATTCTCATATAATCATGCAATAAAATCGATATATACAAATGGTGTTTCCAATGATAATGAATTTTTTAAAATAGTCAAAAATTTGTGTCGCTCGACTCTGATATAATCATGCAATAAAATCGATATATACAAATGGTGTTTCCAATGATAATGAATTTTTTAAAATAGTCAAAAATTTGTGTCGCTCGACTCTGATATAATCATGCAATAAAATCGATATATAAAAATGGTGTTCCCAATGATACTGAATTTTGAAAAACTTAGTTAGAAAATAGAGTGATTTAATCCTGATCTAACCATGCAATAAAATCGATATATAAAAATGGTGTTTCCAATGATAATGAATTTTTTAAAATAGTCAAAAATTTGTGTCGCTCAATTCTGATATAATCATGGAATAAAATCGGTATATAAAAACGGTGTTTCCAATGATACTGAATTTTGAAAAATATAGTTAGAAAATAGAGTGATTTAACCCTGATCTAACCATGGAATAAAATCGATCCATCAAAATGTTGTTGCCAATAAAAATGAATTTTAAAGAATAGTCAAAAATTAGTGTCACTCAATTCTGATATAATCATGGAATAAAATCGGTATATAAAAATGTTGCCAATAAAAATGAATTTCAAAAAATAGTCAGAAATTAGAGTGATTTAACCCTGTCCTAACCATGGAATAAAATCGAAATATAGAAACGCTTTGCTCCAAACGCGATCCAACGTGTTAATTGAATCCTAAGAGGACAATGTAACATTAAATTCTGGACGATCGAACGGACAACTCGGATTCCGAGAGCGACGCGTAACAATTTCCCAACGGTTTCGGGAAGCATCGTAAATTGTTGTTCGCTGTCCAGAAGATTTCGCTCGAGCCCGAATTCATTAGACACCGGCTATCGGCGCATTGATAAGTACACGTGAAAGAAATACTTGCTCACTTTGCCAGGCATTTGACCTGAATACCTACGGCCTGTTTTCAGCTCGCTCGCCTCTCTCTCTCTCTCTCTCCTTCCGACAGCTAGCTCTCTACTTTCCTCGTCCGCTCTCTCTTTCTCTCTCCATCCCCCCCTTTCTTTTCACTCTCCAGCACACCGTCCCGCTGTCTTTCCACCGTCTCTCTCGTTCTCCACCCTTCCGTATACCTTTTTCCCTTTAGCGGCTCGCGAACACGGGGTGCTCCCGGGCCACTTTACATAAATAACACGGCTCATTTGTTCACCACGTGAAATATTAACGATAAAACCGCGGCGGGGTATCGCGGCAAGAACGATTGGCTCCGATCCGTGGCCACGCATTCGCAGTTCCGCCGGATTATTCTCGGTTCTCGCCGCGAACCAATTGCGGCACAAATCTGTCATCTTCGACGCCGTATATGGCGTATGTATGTATGTATCTCTGAAATAAATTCCGCGGCTCGGAATAGGAGCAACGAATTGGTCGAACGATTTCAGTCGTCTCGGAGCCGGAATTTTTAGCAGCTACTTCGTTATTCGATTCTAATCTCTGGCCCGTCGCTTTTCGGCCGAAGACTCGATGAGAGTCGCTCGGCATCTTCTATTCATGTTTTATGCGAAGAAATTGAGAGAATCGCTGAGATTAGTGCGGTTTTTACGGCGCCGTGAATGACGGAAACGCGAAGGAAAAAAGGGAGCGCTTTTCAACCTGGTCCCAATAGAGGACCTATAAGGTATATCGGTGTCTAGCGGGCCCTTTTATAGGGTATAATAATTGATAAAAAAATATATCGTTTCTTTTTACCGCTCGACGCGGCTCCGAGCACTCGGACTCGCCTATAGTCCTCGCGCGATAAGAAGGCACCGCTGCGTTCCCCTCCTACTAGCCGCGGCAGTGCGGCAGCTGGAGGGGGAATACGTAGACACGGAGGCGCCTTCTTGTCGCGCGAGGACTATGGAAAACATTTTCCTTTTTTAACCGGAATCGCATGGAATTTGCTATGGACTTTTCGGTAGCTTAAATCGATTGCTTATTCTTCGTAATCGTTGCTGCGATTAACTCGTTATCTTTTGCTTTGTTTTTAACGTCTTCAAGATATTTGCCTTAAACGCTGCTCACTGATAGTTGTCATTTTCACTTTATATTCAAGTTTGGATTGTGCCTTTCTTTTTTCTCTCTTTCTTTCTTTTTCTTCTCTTTTCTTCTCTTCCTTTCCATTTTCCCTCTTTCTTTCTTTCGTTTTCTTCTCTCTTCTTCTCATCCCTTCTTTTTTCTCTCTTTCTTTCTTTCTTTCTCTCTTTCTTTCTTTCTTTCTTTTTCTTCTCACTTTTTCTCTTCCTTTCTTTTTTCTCTCTTCCCTTCTTTCTTTCTTTTTGTTCTTGTGTTTTGTCTGTACTTGCATGACTGCTATTATATTATTACTCTTTCTATTTCTCTCATTGTAATAAATGGTTCATCCGATTGATAAGTAAAATTATTATTATTATTATTATTATTGTTATTGTACACATTATTATTGTACGTTCGTACAGCCACGCGCTCATTCTTACAATACTTCCGTGGGCAATTAGCCGATAATCGCCTGGAATCGATGTAGCAATCCTAATCGCCGGCAATCTCCCTCCCCCCCTCCCATTCCATCCTCCATCTTCCTCCCCGCCCGGCAGACGCCGCGTTCACCGTCGCAGAATCGTCCGGTGACACAAGAATTTCCGAGCTGCATCAACGCGTTCGTATAGTACGCGTCCGATCGCTTACACAACGCACCGAGTGAAACGATATGAAAAAAAAGAAAAGGAACTCTGCCACGACGAACGGCCGGAGAAAGTAAATATCCCCGTTACAAACGATCCCCGGCTGGTAAACAGTCGTGCGCGACATAAACGGCAGAGAGGATTTCCTTCGTGTCCGCGGTCGAATCGGCTCTGGGGTCGGTCGATCTGCTCCGATCGGCCGCGGCTCAATTAATTACCGGCGCGGTCCCGATCCGACGTCCCTCGAACCGAGAGAGCAACACCCAATTACCGTATCCCCGTTCGCGATCGGTGCTCCGAGTTTCTTGGCCGGTTTCGTCGAACGCGCGGCGGCCGCAGCAGCGCCGCAGCCGCGGTTCCGTCGCGTCGCGCCGCCGCGCTCGCGTCCCGGGTATATTCTCGCGGCGAGCAGCAGCAGCAGCAGCAGCAGCAGCCGCTGGCAGCATTATCGCGGCGCACGCGGTCGCTCGCGAATTCGTAGCGTAACGAGTAAATTCCGATAAGTTACCGGTGTGTCGGAAACTTCGGGTGGGAGAGGCTGCCGCCGGCCGGGACTACGGAGGGGAGGGGGGCAGAGAGGAGGCGAAGCACGACGGCTTGTTTCCGAGGGGAAAGAGCGGGAACGCGAGCGAGACTGTTCGCGGGTGGACTATCGGCGCGCAGGGAGGGGGAAGGCGGGCTGCGAGCGCTCGCGAGCAGTCGCGGAGGGGGAAGAGCGGGAGCGTGCGAGCGAGAGAGCCGAGCGGGCGCGCGGGCGGCGCGGGAGGGAGAGCGGCGAACCGGTGACGGCGGAGCAGCGAGTGGGGCGGAAGGGGGCCGCGCGCGGCGGCGGGTCGAGCGGGGCGAGGAGGGTGCAGGGGCGGGAAGGAGCGGTGAGGTTGCTATCGGCGAGCGCCTCCGTTCGAGTCGGTGGAGTGTCGAGTCGGCCCACGTCGGCCTCGATCAGCCGCTCGGCGCTCAGTTCGAGTCGGACCTCCGCCGTAGCCGGATCGTGTCATATTGCCTGTCTGCGCTGTCTCTCTCTCTTCTTCTCTCTCTCTCCTCCTCCTCCTCTCTCTCATTCCCTCCCGCGGGCAGGCGCGGGCGCGCGCGCGTTCACAGTGTCTGTGTATGTGTGTTCCCTGTTCCCCCTCTGTGCCCCCCTGTTCCCCGCAACGACAACGAGTTCCGCCCAGGGTGAAAAGAGCGGAGCCGGGGTTCCCTGCAAACAAGACGCATCCTCGACACGGCGGTTGTTGTTTGTTTTCTGGTATCGCGGTGCCGCGGTGTCGCGGTTCACGCGAACACCGGAGCCGTGCGCGCGAGGGTCCCGGCCGCGGACAACAGGAGATACGAGCTGTCCAGCCAGCGTCTACGGTGCAACGTCGCCGTCGACGTCGACGTCGACGTCGCCGCCGCCGCCGCCGCCACCGCCGCCGTCTCCACGGTCCTCGTACCGCAGTGTGGTGCTTCGTCGGCGTTGTTGCTGCCACGAAAGTGTTTCCAGAAAGGAGAGAAGTAGGTTAGCTCGCCGCCCGCCGGCTTTCATATCCCCGACGAGCCGCCGCTTCTCTCTCTCTCTCTCTCTTTCTCTCTCAACGCCTTTTACCGCGAGTGTACCGATCGCGCACCGAGTGCACCCAGCGCAGCGCACCGAGTTGTTCGCAACGTTTCCCCGATGTTCAACGAACGCGCACTTCTTTTACGTAACGGAAGCGCGTTAGAACGCGCGCGTGCGCTCCGCGTATCCGTCCCAGTCGCGTCGTTTCGAGCGAGCATCTTCGATCATCGTTAACGCATCGTCGCGCTCTCCCGCTCCATCGAGGATCTCCCGAACCATTTCGCTTCTTCTTATCGCTCGAATTTATCGTCTCGGCTACGGAGAGCAGCCGGACTCTCCGTTCCCGAAGTAAATCTTCGTTCAAGTTCTCAACGTAGATCCCTCGGTCGCACGCGTACGTTCTCGTCGACGGTGTCCCAACGATCCCGCTCGTTAACGAACGCCCCCCCCCCCCC